AGATGTGGCTTCCGACTTATAATGAAGATAAAGACGTGACATCATCTTTTGAATAGCATCTGCATGCTCCTTTCTTTTCAATTTACTCCTAACATCTCCTTCTTGGATCGATTCCCATCTTGATTAGCCACAACACTCTCTAAATTTGCAAATTGATCATCTAAAGATGTGGCTTCCGACTGATAATGAAGATAAAGACGTGACATCATACTTTTGAATCTTTCAACCCAATCCTCGAATTTTTTATCTTTTCCTCCTCACTTAGAAGAATATCACTATCCAAGTAACTTATATACCAAAATGTCACACAATCGAATTTATATCTAGGGTCTAGCACAATAGAAGCAATCAAAACTGGATTCAAAGCATCAATGTTACAATATTTTCCAAATTTTCCATTCATTTTCTTAGCCATGTCACTAAGAAAAACATCATTGTTGCCCATTTGTTGCAAGAGCGTTGTTTCTCTCTTTTCGGCGGGGCATGCCACCACCAAGCCCCAACTTTGGGCTTGAATGGAATGTGAGTAGATGGATATATTGCGTCCGAGATCTAACTTTAATCAAACGATTGTTCAGCCGAGCAAGGAACCTCCTCACAGCTTATCTTTCACTACCTCAGGGTCAAGGCTTTCTGTGAGGGACCAAATGATGTGGAGTGTGTAGAGATGAAGATTGAAGGTGAAACGTAATGAAAAGAACAACAAGTGCAAAAAGTAAAGGTACTTAAACTTAAATATAATTTAAAAACAAATGCGTACAGTAAAGTGCAAAAGATAAATAACGTAAAGATGAGAATTAAAGTGCGATAAAATGAATCAAAGCAATAAATAAAGCAAGAACGAAATAAAAACAATAAGAACGATATAGTAAAATGAACTTGAAATTAAACTTAATTGAAGTGCGCTAATAATGAAAAGTAAAGCAATTGAAATAAACTTGAATTTAAATGACAAGAAAATATAAATTGAACAAGAATTTAAACTTACACTAAGAAAAGGAAGAACTCGCTACACTAGGTGCATGAAAAGTAAAATCCTAAGTCTAGGAAAAGAAAAGTGCGAGACGAAAAATAGATTTGTTTGTCTGATGTTGTGTGTCGTCTGCCTTCGTTTGGTGAAGTTTATATAGGGCATCCATCAGCCCATGGGTTGGCTACCAAATGTCAACTCTTTTAAAAATCTTTCCTTTCAAAGCCCCCCTAAATCCGTGGGATTGCATTGAGTGAAATATTCTGACATGCTTGATTCTTCCTTGCTTTGGAACATTTGAAGTTATTATCGAACTCCTTGATTTGTTTCCTCGTAAGGCCTCCATCACATGCATATTGACCTCCGGAAATCTTGGGCTTGAATCCGTGGCTTGGGCCTTGACCTCCGAGATTTCATCTTGAGTTCTGGTGGAACCTTGTGCCCCTTGAGTTTTTAGAATTCTAGAGGTGGCTTACCATCCGTTGACCATCCGCCAAGATGGGTGGTATGGGAACTCCAAATATTTGGATGTTGGGCTTGACCCTATTTGGACTATATTTGAGTTCTCAAATATTTGAATATTGGGATTTCGGCGGACATACTCCTGCCGAACTTCAACTCCCTTGGCCCAACTGTTGGGAAAGATGACGAAAAATCAAAGAGCCAATAAATAAATATGGCACTCCCAGGATCTGACTTCTCCCAGCCTTGTGTAAATAAAATGGACAAAATTAACACTCTATCTTCCACTAAGAAAAAATAATGGGAATACAATAATAATCTCATCAAACACCGGTGGCTAAACTCTCTCTTGGTTTTTCTCTCAAGAGGATTTTCTCTCTCACACAAGTGAGGTTTTCTTATCTCTCAAAACTCTCTATGTTTTGGTTTTCTAAGGGATGATTTGAACTGAAAGAAGGCAGCTGCTTTTATAGCCAACGTTCCTAACAAAATTGGTGGCCTTGCATGAGAGAGAGTTTTTCTCATTTTCTCTTCCGTTCGTTTTCTTCTAATTTTCCCGTCCTTTCTTTTATTTATTTTAATATTTATTTTCCTTCTTTTTCTCTCCTCCACTAACGAGGGAAACCCATCAATCTCCCCCTCCCAACTTAGGTGGAGGGCTCCAGCAGTCCAGCTGCTCTTCTGCAAAATTCGTACTTGTCCTTAGGTAAGGACTTGGTCATCATATCTGAACTATTGTCATCAGTATGGATTTTCTCAAGTTGTAATTGCTTAGACTCCAATACATCACGTATCCAGTGATATCGCACATCAATGTGCTTCGACCTCGAGTGAAAACTCGGATTCTTGCTCAAGTGGATCGTGCTCTGGCTATCACAATGCAAAATGTATTTGTGCTGCTCTTGCCCTAATTCTTGTAGGAATCGCTTCATCCAGAGCATTTCTTTGCATGCTTCAGTAGCTGCAATAAACTCTGCCTCTGTAGTTGATAGAGCAACACATTTCTGTAACTTTGATTGCCACGAAACTGCTCCCCCTGAAAATGTAATCAGGTATCCTGAAGTAGATTTTCTGGAATCAAGATCTCCTGCCATGTCTGCATCTGTGTAGCCAATCAATTCAGGTTTTCCACCTCCAAAGCACAAACTCATTTTGGAAGTACCCCTGAGATATCTGAGAATCCACTTCACAGCATTCCAATGCTCTCTGCCTGGTTTAGACAGGAATCTGCTTACAACGCCAACTGCGTGTGTTATGTCTGGCCTCGTGCAAATCATTGCATACATCAGACTACCAACAGCTGAGGAATATGGCACCACAGCCATGTTTTCTTTTTCTTTCTCACATGTAGGACTTTGCTTTGAACTAAGCTTGAAGTGACTAGGAAATGGAGTAGAAACTGGTTTTGCTTTATCCATGTTAAACCGCTTTAGTACCTTCTCAATATAACTTTCTTGTGATAACCTCAACTTCCGAATTTTTCTATCACGGGATATACTCATACCGAGGATTCGTTTTGCGGGTCCTAAGTCTTTCATAGCAAAAGACTTGCTCAA